ATAGAAATAAAGCAGCAGAAGAAGTTGGGATGGTTGCATCTGTCAGTCAATTCTTATATGTGGTAGTAACTGAAAGAGCCATTGACCTAACCGAGTCCAACTTTGTTGTGAGCAATTTTGAGATGTCACAATTCTATTTAGTGGAAATGAGGTTCTAGATTTGGATGAAATCATGATTTACTGGTAAAAGAGCGTCAAGGGGCGTCAATACTGGAACAGACTGGCAGCAACGTGGGAACTATGGGCCAATAATTATTTCACATTTTAGCAACAAATAATTTTTTTTTTTTAAAGTACACAAGTTTTGGCCACTATATTGTGTTTTTCTTTTTGTTGTTGTTTTTTTGGAGCTGGAAGTTACTGTGTTGCTACAGCCAGATTATTAGATGAAGCTAACAGGCATTGATTCCATTAAAAGTGCTCCAAAAGAAACCCCCACAGCACAAACACGGCCCACAGGGCCAGTTCAGGGACGCCAGTTTGGTGAGGTGACGCCTAGGAGGCATCATGGCCGCCTGTGTTTCTCACCAAAGGCGAACCTCTGGGGCTGAAAAATGACGCCATCATGGAAACAATGAAAAATGCTTCTGTGATGCTTTAAAAGGGGGAAAAAACTCAATGCAGAGATTAAAACAGTTTCTTGTAGCAGACTGTAAACATGTTTATATCTGCTGTAAAGTTTTAACGTGGGGTTTTATCGAGGCTCACTTTTGAAGCCTCTAGTGGACACTAGAGGAACTGCAAAGACTAAACTAAAGCATATAAGGCCTTTGTTAGCTCAGAGGTTGCTGTTTGATTGTCACTCAGTCATCCAAACTTTGGGAAGCAGTTTTAGCGCCTTGAGCACAAGCTCTTTTTTTTTTTCTCTCACTTGCTAATCGGATCCTTGTTGTGGAAATTTCATCGTGTTTCTGCTTCAGATAAATTCCTGACAGCAGAGAATGCTGACAACTTTGTTTTTCCATCACTAATAACTTCATTTGATCCCTTTTGACAGCGGTTTTATGTGTTCGGGATCCGCATCCAGCTCCAGTTTTGTTATGTGTTTTGGCTCTGCTATTAAAAGGCTCAAAGCACTGACTTAAAGGAGAATTGTTGCCTGAACGCGTGCCAAAAGGACCAGTCGTTCTTCCCTTTACGGCAGTAATGGGAGGAAAACAGTTTGTTCTTGAGTTGTGAGTAATATTAATGCAAACACTGGTGGTTGCTTTCAAAATTCTAAGAGAAATGACTCCTCTTCTTCACCGTGTGAGTGACACATATGAGTAATAGGTTTCGGAAGCCTGGGGGGGTGGAGGAAGTTTCTTAGCTTTCCAGAGGGAGAGCGTTTATTTGATTTTGGAATCTTCTGAGTGTTTACCTTCGATGTTCTCACGTCGCCTGTGGTGGGTCCGGCCGCTGCAAATCTTTCCCTGTTTATCTTCACTTTAAAGCCCTCCTCCGCTGAAGCCAAGCAAACATAAGCAGGGTGGAGGACAGTGAAACAGCGAGGCTCGACCTGCAGGTGTCTTCACATCATCCTGAGACTACACAGTGAAATTTGCGAGAATGCACCTGAACTTCAAAGGTGTGCAGTGTTATGTTTAGACAATGGGAGCAGTTCAGCATGAGCGGAGCAGCAAGCCATTCGTCAGGAAGTTGTTTCTAAATCATTCCTGCAGCCTTTTCGGTCAGACTGTACTGCCAGAGCTTTGAATAGCTGTCGTCCTCCAGTCTAACATCAAATGAATAAAAAGTTATAAAGCTGTGCTCTTTGTTCTCCGGTCAAAGGTCCTCTTGAGCTACACCTGGAGTCTACATCCAGGTGACACCATCAACCTCTCTTTAAGGATAGCTCTGCCAGCATTTGGGCCAAGTTTCTGCACAGGGGCATGTAGTGTTTACATCATGATCAGGAGCATGAGAAGCATTGGAAAGCCTCACTGCACCTGAGCATGAGGCTCGCCTCTGTGACTGAGTCACAGTCAAATCGCATTGTATTTCTTTATCAGGGTATGGTGAGAAGATAAGCACAGCTGCCATGTCTACTGCAGACAGATGCTGTGCTCGGATTAGCACAAACTGCAAGCGCAGGTGAACGACAGCAGTCATCGCAATAAGCTCTAAACGATAAGGCAGGCGTGTCCAACTCCAGGCCTCAAGGGCCGGTGTCCTGTTAGTTTTATATATCACCCTGAATCAAATAACTAGTTCATTAACAAGCCTCTGGAGAACTTCAAGACATGTTGAGGAGGTCATTTAGCCATTTAAATCAGCTTTGTTGGATCAAGGATGCATCTAAAACCTGCAGGACACCGGCCCTTGAGGCCTGGAGTTGCACACCTCTGCTGTAAGGTGAAATACCGAAGTTTTTTTTCATTTGCCCCAAAGTGGGCTGTGAAGGTACTGCAACCATTCGCAATAAATAAAACGTTCAGTTTTTTAATTTTGACATTAAATATTTAAATTTTTAAAGAAACAGAACCCAGGGACTGTATTGGAGCATCACCTGCAGATATTTGCTAATTAATCTAATTAATAAATTTAATAAAATCCTAGGAGAGCTATGGTGTTGTTATGAAGGGGGGAAATATCAATAGAGCCTGAACCGTGTTCATTTATACTATAAAGTTTGGCATTTTAACATGCAAGTATCTTTTATACAGCCATTGGTATTCACAGGTTTTAAGGAGGCTGTGTACTAGACTACTTCTTGGATTGGTGCACACTTTGAAGCGCGGCCCAAAACTCGAGGCTTGGGCAGTCAGCGCTGAATGTGCGGTTTTGAAAATGTTAAACCAGTATATTTAACAAACTGATATATGAGTAATATATCAGTCTTACTCAACTGGAGAATAAGCACATTTTTCAGAACTGCTTTAAATGTCAGCGCTCCTTTGTTCACGATGCTATTGTGCAGAAAATCTGTTTTATGTTTGTTTCACAATAAGGGGAGGTGACCTGTGCACATACTTTCTTTTAAGTATCCTCAGAGAGTTTGTACACATTTCATGCACTTTTTTCCTTTTATTTCCCCCTTTTTTTCTCTTTTTTTTTTTTGACTAGAACACATATAAGAACAAAATAACCACAACCCGTGTCCATGAAAATAAAAGCTTTTGGAATTTAAGAATGAACTTCCCTCAATTCTTCCCTTCCCAGCAGGGTTGAAGGTTGGGACAATGACCTCAAATCATAGAGAGCTAAAAGTGTTCAAAAAGGAGAAGTAAATGAATAATGCTCAGAGAATCCAAATACTTAAAGTTTGTAAAAAGTTTCCCTTTTAACAAACAGCAGTTTTTTAGTTTAATTAATTTTTTATGCAGCTGACACAATTATCTGCTCTTTTCCCTTTCAGTAGAACAATCCTTCCAATTTACACAGTTGAATGGAGGAAAATCTCAGTTGTTGTTTTTTTTTGTTTTTTTTTAAAAAGGCAAAAAGCCATGTCCATGCATTTAAACATGCAGATCAGAATCTGTCATTTAAACCACATGTTGAAAAGACTTTGTCCGACCTTTTCTTCTCCTCACGTGAGCAGATGCCTGATTTCTTTACCTTTATTTTACTATCTGCTCTTTATGGGCCAGATTTGCTAATGTATTGTGCCAAACATGTGATTTGACATTAAAATAAATTATATAGATACTGACAGTGACAAGACTGACCTTGTTGTGCATGTAAAGGAGTTGCTATGGTAGCCCTGAGAGGCCAGACGGACTGCAACTTAAGAAAACACCAGCAATAAGAAAAACGCTGCAATAGCACACAAAAAACGACGGAAATAGGAAAAACGACAACGGAAATAGGAAAAAACAAAACAGAAAGAGGGAGAAAAAAAAAAGATTTCCAAAAGCACAAGTGAAGTGTTTCTGGGGAGACAATAACCGGACAGACCAGTTAGAAACATGCTAGGTGTGTTTTATCATGATTTTCATACACTGATGACAGATTTTTAGGCTAATAGGCTAACACATTTACCTCTCATCTTTTCTTTCCTCACAAAACAGACAGATCCTCCACTTCTTTTAATTGTCTCCCAGCGCAATTCTTAGCATATTTTGGTTCCTGCAACTGATCCGTCGGGTAATTGTCTCCCCAGAAACACTTCCCTTGTGTTTTTGGAAATCTCTTTTTTTCCCTATTTCCGTTGTCGTTTTTCCTATTTCCGTTGTGTTTTGTGTGCTTTTGCAGCATTTTTTCTTATTGCTGGTGTTTTCTTAAGTTGCAGTCCGTTTGGCCTCTCAGGGCCACCGTAAGTTGCTTCTCTAGGCTTTCTCTAAGTACAGGGATGAGAATATTGAAATTGAGTGCACAAACATTTGCCACATTTAATTAACTGCTGATTGTGTTGATATTTAATGCCAAAAAAAAGCACGTCTTTGTTTTTCTAAACACAGTTGCAGTCAAAAAATATCATCCTTAAAGTTAACCACATCTATGAGCGCTATTTGGGGATTGCGCTCTCATGGCATTTTAACCTGTTTAAAAAATGACCATAAACCCTGAGCTTGGTGGTGTTGGTCTCTTCCTGTGAAAAGGGAGTTCTTCCGTCTCACTCTCACTGTTCATAGGGGATTGTCTAAAACTGTAGGGTTATTACTGTGCTTACTTCTCTCTGTCCCACTGGCTGGGTTATATATATAAATCTCTGCTTGAGCTGGTTTTCTCTGGTCTGTGTACATTTGTGTGTTAAAACTGTCATCAGTACAGCTGACCCTCTGTTTGTCTCCAGTCAGAACAGAATTAGACAAGAAAAAAAAAAAAAAGAAACAACCCCCCGCCCCCCAGCTTGTCCTTTCCCCCAAAAATAATCTACAGAAGGAGTTGAAATTGTGAGAAAACTATTACTCTTGAATTTAAATCAGCTCTGAAATTCATTTGAAACACTGACTTTTGTCTTTGGTACCTATTTGGGAATGATCTGGAGTTGTGTGTAGTTACATTTACTGTTCTTGTGTTTATTTGTTTGATCATTTCTGATTGCTTATTGGTGATGACTGCTGCCAGTCTGGCCTGGTCACTTTTGCAAAAGAGATTTTTAATCTCCAGACTTTTACCTGGACAACAAAATGCAGCTTCTTTAATCTGTGGCTGTGTATGCATATCATATCACGGTTTAAAAAAAATGCAACACTGCTCCATCAGGATTAACTTGACATGCCTTTAATTTTTTGGCATTCCAATAACTGAAGATAAAATGTTGCTCCCGGTAGACTTGCTTCCTGCACAGAACCAGAGATCTGTCTCTTGCATTTGTTTTCATTTGACTTTGTTAAAATGCCAAAATGAGGTCAAAGTCGACCTGAAACATTTTAATTTGGTCAAAAGAAGTTTTTTGCCTGCCTGTGCAGATAGGTGCTGTCAAATCACTTAGGTAATTGAAGCCTATTTGATAGAAAATGAAGATGAAATATTATCAGCCGTGTAAAAGGATCCATTGTGTGTGCTAACCAACGATAAAGCCACGCTTTAATAGGAGCATTAACTGTTCTGAGGCGAATGCAGAGTTTATTCTCCCTCAGACGAGCTGGCAGCTGGTAAACACGCTGAAAGCTGGGATTTATCATTGTTTTCATAGTAAATTCACCGCTAATCTCAACATGTATCTTCAATGCAGTATCCATGGCCCCCGGAGCAAAAAGTAAGCAGTGCGTCTGTGAAAGCCTTCTGACACACAGAGAAGCAAGTCACTCATCTTTCAGATCACTGGGAGTCCATCCAGGGGGCGACTCTGATCTGGGTGTGAAGAGAAAGTCTTGGAGGACAAATTCCACAACCAGATGGAGACGCAGTATGAAGCAGTTTTCCTGAAACGATCCCAAAATGTTGTCACTGGATAAGTGATTTCATTCCTCTTTTGGAGCTGTGCTCTGGAGCTTCAAGCAAGCGCTAATGCATTACTGCTTTTGCAGTGCAGACATGCTGTTTTCCAGAAAAAAAAATCAAATCATGAGTCTGGCAACTTTACTTTTGATTTCTAGGAATCATTAAGAAACCTAAAACTTAGCAACTCATACCTCATTACAACCTCATTTAGTGGAGCAAAACAAATGCATAATAACATTTTAAAAACAAAGCAGAAAACATTATTATACATTTTTAGTAGATTTTGCAAACATGTCATAAACAGGCTGAGATATTTTAGGAAAATCAATCACAAAATAATATGTCTGAGATTTTCCACATTATGAAGATGTACTGCTGAAGCAAAGCAAAGAAAGCAGCACGGCTTTAACCACATTATAGAAATTAAAACTTTAAGAAAATGATGTGAAGGCTTGGATCTCATTCCAGGACATTTTCAATCATTTTAATGTTCTTTAAAAAAAAAAACTATACCGTATTTACATTGCCGCATGTTTTTGTAATTCATATAATGAATCTGATTTACACCTTAATCCCTTCTTTGCAATTTTTCGCGTTTTACAAAAACCATCCAGTAACCAGGACTGGGAGCTTTGGCAGGCCATATGTTTGACTGTATATAATAAACCTTTTAACTGATGTTAAAAATATAGCCTGTTTTTTGTTCTTAGGTTAGAATACACAAACTTTTACCTGCAGAAAGAGGCTAACTGTCTGCAAAGTCTTTGGTTGGTGTGCCTGAAGCCTTGTGTAATACTTGGAAAGGAGTTTAAGGAATGTGGTGCAGATGAGTTTGTACTCAGAAGTGAAGATGCCTTTTGTGAAAATGTGTTTCCTCTGAATTGTTCTGTGTTCTTAAAAATAACTTAATCCTCTAAGACTAATTATTTTAGGATTCTTGTGATGGTGCCAGCTGAAACTGCTACAGAGTAGCTGACACGGCTGAGATTTATGACTTCACCCTGTTTCAGCTACAGATCCCTCACTGCTGCACATTTTGTCTTTCCTCCTGCATATTTCCACGCTCCACTATTTCACGAACATAACCGAAAGACTAAAAAGACCTGTCTTCTGTGTCCTAGCTGTTCGTGCTCTGCCACGGCCTCCTGCAGTTGTCCCAGCTGCTGTACAGCGCCTACTTCAAGAGCACCATCAGCACAATCGAGAGACGCTACGGCCTCAGCAGCTACTCCTCGGGAACCATTTCCTCTCTGCACGAGGTGGGAGCCAACAATAACTTACCCTCATCCAGTGTAGGATCATGATAGCTTTATTTCAAGGATACCAATGACAAAGGAGGAACTGAAGTGCAAGCAACAAATCAAAATCACACTTCCTGACAATCCGAGTGGGACTCGAGTATTTTGGAACAGTTTTATTGCAAATGCAGGCGTCAGGAGTGATGAGAGATTGTTTCTGTACGCGCTCGGCGCAGAGGTCACTCTGGGTTTTTTTTTTAATACTCCAGTGAGCTTTAAATGTTTCACACACATATAAATGTTTTCTGTTTGTCAAAGACAGTCACAAATAAACCGCATTTTGCTGTCTGTGGCGATACTCCATGAAGAATGACTTTAGCTTATCTTCTTCTGGTTTCTTTAAGGCTGCTCTGATGGATATTTTCTCAGTAACGCCAGATCAAAAGATTATTTGTAATGTGTAGTCTCATTAAAGTGATAAATTCAGACAATTATCACCCAGCTCTGCACTTCCTCTCAGTTACATGGAGCTTTACTGTTGTGATTGTTTCTGTCTCCAGAGATCTGGATTACGAAGCAGGGTCAGGGGCTTAGTGAAGCAGCTTCAGGTTTAACATTGTGTTACTAAGGTTGTTCGCTTCTTATCGGAGTACAATGCCAAAAGATAAGAGATCAAAATAAGACAAAATGACCCCATATCAACCAATCATCTCCCGCAGCAGAGAATAGCTTCAGCATTCCTGGAAATCAGTGTGCAGAGTAAGAGGCAAGCTTAGGGAACAGCACAGAAGACACAGGAAGTGACGGGGAGGAAAACACAACAAACAAACTGCACACACGTGTTTTAAATGTTCCTTTCCCCTGTGAAGCAGTGCTATACAAGTTGTGTGCAAAAAATTCAGCAGAAATGACCACATTTTGGATGAATGAAATGCAAATACAGATTAAAGTGACATCTAATTATGGGTCCTTAAATTACCTCTGAATTGTGCTAGATTGCACCAAGTGAAGCAGCGTTGCACAACAGTGACACCCTGAGTTTAATGCATTAGGTGTGGCGCTTCCTCTGGCTCCTCTCTGACTTTTTTCTCTGTCTCTTAGGTCAGTAACAGCATACTGATTGTGTTCGTGAGCTACTTTGGGAATCGGGTCCACCGTCCTCGCACCATCGGCGTCGGTGGACTGCTGATGGCCATCAGTGCCATGATGCTGACTTTGCCTCACTTCCTGTCTCAGCCGTACGAATACGGCTCTGTTTTACATAGTAAGATGAAGCCATAAACACATTGCTGCTCTGTCTCCGCTGACACTGCCATCCTGTGACTCTGTCCAGAGCTGAGGGGGATCTCAAGTGTACAAATATGTCCAAAAGACTTATGAGGCTTTACTTAAGAGTTGCAGCATTCTCTAACAAAGGCTCCATAGGACTCAGTGGGAGTCAAACAAGTTTCTGCTGTTTGGTCCTCTGTGTTCTTTAGCATGTGTTTGGAAAGCCTCGCTGGTCCTCTCCAGCTGAACTTTTGCATAAATCAGGAGGAAATTCATAATCTCTGTGCACTCTCTGAAAGCTAAGAAGATTACAATTACCTCTGGGGCATTTCATTTGCAATAACAATGTTCTTCTTCCTTTTCGCTTTGCCCCCAGTTAAAGTCATACAGAGTGTCAGCGGAGGGTCAGAGAAGCTCCAGGAAATTAAATAAGTAGAACGTCTGTGTCCTCTGGCCTGTTTTTAACTATCATTTTCCTTGTTTTATACCCTGTGTGTGTGTGTGTTTGTGTGTGTTGATACCAGATCGCCACGAAATGTGCAACCTGCAGAGCACCTCTAACAGCACACAGTCGTGCAACCGTGATGAAACGAGACGTCTGACCGACACCAACAACCTGTGGCTGCTCATGGCCAGCGCTCAGCTGCTCTTTGGTGTTGGATCAGTGCCCATCCAGCCCTATGGGATTTCCTACATTGATGATTTTGCTGGGCCTGCAAATTCCCCTCTCTACATAGGTGAATGACCTGCAGTTCAAAGATTGATGGGACCACATTAAACTGAATTATTTAGCAGGGTTTCGTGTGAAAAAACTGATAAATATACAAACACAAGGAGTGAAAGTACGAGTATTTTGTGTTGGTGAAACTGAAAACTAAAGTCATCACTCTGTCTACAGACAGCTTAGAGGATGATATCAGATCACTGAAGTGTTCAGAAACCAGCTGCTGCTTAGATTTTAAAGTACTGCTCGTCGACGCTGTCAAGTAGACTCAGAAACTTGAGTCATCAGTAGAAGTGTTAATTCTTCCAACAATGAGTTTAAGGAAAAACATTGCTGTCATTCAAAATCTTTGTGATAAAGATCTTATAAAGATAAAGATGAAATATGTCTGTTTGCAAGAAAATTAGCTTTGATTTCTAATTTTCCCCTTTTAATTTCATGCTTTATTGCTTTGCATCAAACTGTGGCTAACAGACCTTGAATATCAAGATTTATTCCTGCAGAAGCCTTGAGTCAGAAATGTACTCCCTAAAGTGATGTTTATAACAGCATGATTCACAGAGATAAGTCAGGTTAACCCCCGTTTTTCCATGGAATATTTGTGAATATCTGTTATGAATGAAGGATAAATACAGATGGAACCGTTTAAAAAACATTTCCCGTATGAAATATTTTACAAAAATGACCCCACTTGCTAAAATAGCTTGGAGGTTAAAGCTGGAGTCTTTTAGAATCAGTTCGGAGGCTTTAGAGGAAAAATACAATCTTTTTAAAATGGTAAGGTATTTGACTGGCTGCAGCTCAACGGTCCATCACAGCCTGCCATCTCTTATCATTCACAGCCATCCTGTTTGCAGTTTCTGTATTCGGGCCTGCCATCGGCTACCTGCTGGGCTCAGTCATGCTGCGGGTCTATGTGGACGTGAACAAAAAAGATTTGGGTAAAGCTGAGTCTGGAAGTCATTTGATTGGGTTAAAGAGGTACGGATGCCTTACGGCGTTTTTCACCGATAATTCCAGGAGAAGCTGCGCTCCAACTCAGACCCGACGATCCTCGCTGGATCGGTGCCTGGTGGATGGGCCTGCTCATCTCTGCTGGCTGCCTGGTTCTCACCTCTATCCCCTACTTCTTCTTCCCACGTACCATGGCTTCACAAGACCACGTAAGCCTCGCTCTTATAGAAGTCTTTTAAACAGCAGAGCACATGTCAGGACTGTGCAGTCCACAAGAAGCATCCATAATGTGACTGTAAATATTGGAAGCAAACAGGGATCTGACACTTAAAGGACAATATTCTCTATGTCACATTTGACTGACATCTGCTGGCTTAATGTCAGCGCTGCAGGTTGTTTTTTGTTCTTGTTTTTCTTTCAGTTTTTTACTATTTAAGGCACAGTTTCAGTCTTGGTGACCTCAGTGGAGCGATTTCACATACAAATCTGCACTTGTGAAATGCTTTAAGAAAAATATTAGTCCTAAGCTTATCTATGACTAGATAAGCAGGAAGTGCATGCCCCCTCATTTTTTATGAAACCACAGTTTCACTTCCAGCTTTAACTTGACTGACTTAAAAACAATGAAGTTCAAGTGGGCCAAAATACAATTATTAGAAAAAAATTAGAACTACTAGTGAGCTCTTGTGATGTAGAAAAGTCTTTTTTACAATAATTCTTTCCTAAAATATAAAGCCATATGCAGGAAAATTACAGAAGAACATTGACACAGCTTAAAGCTTTAAAACATACTGTGCCAGTTTAAAACATCAATCACTCTAAGGTAAATATTCATTAATGAACTGTTTTTTTTATTGTGTTGGGTTTTTTTAGTCCATGGTAACATCTGAAAAATGTCAGTAATCCTAGACTGTTTTTTTAAAACTAACTTAGCTGCCGGGAATTCTAATGTTCACACAGCAAATGATTGTTTTCTGCATGTTTTGAAACCAGACACAAGGACAGAGGAAGGCCTCTGACTGTGAAACTGAGGGGACACTCATATGGTAGCAAATTGCCCTCCAACCGTCTATAATTCACAAAGAGTATAGTTCACAAAGTCATCATCCTGTATTTTTCTTATTTTTTTTTAAACATGAAATTAGAGCCCATAAACTCATCAGGAAAGTGGGGGTCATAAATCTAGTTTGCACTTTGGCCATTTACCCACAGATTTGTATATAGTTTGACTTCTCTTTACAATCATAGGAGACGCCCCCTGCTGGAAACCTTTAAAAACATGCTACTTTCATAATCCAGTCTGTCATCAGTTTCCCAACAGCGGTTTTTGATTTAGTTAACAGGAATGAGCAAACAGCAGACATAATTACATAAATGTTATCGATGAACACAGAGGGGAAGTGGTTAGCTGAAAGTTGCACACAAAAAGTGGAAGTAATCTTCAAACAGTAATAGACTGACAGGTCATCATCAGCATTTTCTCCCCAGTATAAATCATAAATAAGCAATGGATGAATGTTGAGTTATGCAAATAAAAAACATGATAATAAGGGAGATGTTTGAGAACCACTGAAACACATGATGCGTCTTTTAAACTTTCACGCAGATTCAAACTAAAAGCGGATATGTCCTTATAAAAAGTCTCTAAACTAATTCTTTTGAGAGACAAAAACTCCACAGAAATCTTTTCATTGCAGCAGCATTCAAAATCACCCAAAAGCTGTCAAAGCTTTTGGGTGATTTTGAATGCTGTTGTGCAGAGCTTGTCATTTCAGTCTAATGTTCCCACGTCACACGAATGCAGCACAAAGACACAGAGGCTTATGTTGTAGGACAATGTCGCATGAAAGGAGAGAGAAACTTTGAAGTGCTCCTTGAAAGATTGAGATCAAACCAATGAGATTTTCATCCTCTAGAGCCTCCATATGCTCTCCTGTATTTTTGAATTTGTGCCGCTGCCTCCCATAAATGTCCCTGTCTTCATTACTCACTGAATGTGTGAGGATCTCTATCAACTGCTTATTTTCCCTTAAAAAAGATGAAAATACACCAATCAGACACTGACAGTTCAGGGCTCATTACTGGCACCTGTTAGGAGTGTGTTGGATACAATGTGTGGATTTAAGTGACAAAGGAACAGTTTAGATGGCTGAACGGTTATTATGGTTAACTAAGAAGCAACAGTATGTCTCGGTTTTTCTACATTAAAAAATGCTGCTGTAGTAAATGAAAGAAATCTATAAGCAAGACTCTTTGGGCTTAAACTCATGGCTGCTTTAGGACATCTTATCAGTGGTTCTCTTTTGCCTCACCCATCCATCCATTCATTAAACTGCTTATCCAAAGTCCGATCAGGTGGACTGGCCTCTACCTAGCTACACTTTGAAGATCCTCTTTGGAGGATCTTGAGGTGTTCCCAGGCCAGAAGAGATATATAATCAACTTGCTTATTCCAGATACCCAAACCCCATCACTGTATGTCTAACTCTAGTATATCTTCATATATCCTCTTCATATGTCTTTTCCTGCAAGCATCATTTTGTTCTCCTCATCAATGCCATGCATCCATGCTGCAAGTAAATAAGAAATCAGTAAAGCTGCATTCGTGGTCCTTCTGCTAGCTCTAGAGGAATTAGAGGAATGAACATACTTTCTGTAGCATGAACTAACTTCTTTTTTTAAGTCTCAGGGAATTTCAGTTGGGTGATTTGAAACAGCTCAACAAATATCAGCCAACACATAAAGGGTTTTTTGTGCAATTTGGCACCCAATCTGTCAGCAAGCTAAAGTTACAGCTTCTGTATTTCCCAGGGAGAAAAAAACGATGGAGAAAGATGTATGACAGAGGGGGCAGGAGAAGAAGATAAGAAATTATTTTCAGAGGTAAAGACTGTTCAGCAAGCAGCATTTGATAAAACTGGACATTTAAGACTTACATCTAATGCAATGTATTCTGGTTATGTATTTGACAGCAAATTAAATGATAATAACGTTCACATTTTATACTGGACAGTAAATGCAGGCTAAACTGGGCAGTGTATTGGACTGGTGCAGATCATTGCTGGATTAGAGCCTGGTAGCAGCAGACATTAGGAGAGAGGGACATGACAGCTGAAGTTTATTGGAGAATGGTGATATAAGTATAACTATCAACGGAAATATTTTTTGAAACCTTATTTATGTCATACCGAACACTGAAACGAAAGCTAATTTAGTGATTGCTTCAAAATAGCTGCCCAAATAAGTGTGTTCCAGTTCTTCAAGAAAGACTTTGGCAGGAGTCACAATTTAAGCTGATGATGTTGTTCAGCATCAAGTGCCAAATTCTATCTTTGTGCCTGTTGTTTTGGTGTTTTCTGGCTCAGGAGTTGTTGAGCTCAGACATCTGTTAATCCACCGCAGAATGTAGAAAGAGTAGCAGTAGGACCAAGATCTGTCTACAAAGAAGGCACATGCACTGGAGCTCAGAGTAGAAATTATTAGGTGGCTCATTTATAATTCGAGTTAAATTTTCTATTCTGCAGTGTTTCACTAGAACCTCCAGGTGGGTTCCCACACTTGCCAAATTCCCCTCTAACACCTGCATAGTGCACCATCAGACCATTAACATGACTAACAAGTGGCCTGATCATGCAAATATTAATTTTGCTATGCTTTCCATTTCATGCCATGCCCGCTCAGCTGAACTACAAACATTACTCTAATGTGATAAAATCAACTTCTTAGGAAGTCATTGGCCAGCATAAAAAAATGTGGATTTATGTATCAAGAAAAGCTTTTTAAATCAATATTATGAGCTATATTCAAGAAGTAGAAGTAAATATTAGAAGTAGAAAACAGCATAACATAGAAAGAGTTTATTAAATTACAAGTACAATAAAACTGTGCTTCAATAAAATACTAGAGTAAATGTCCTGTTACATTCCACCACTGGTTCTAGCCATGCTCTCCTCTGATGGGATTGTGCATATAATGGTTGATGGTTTTATGCTTCTCGATACTTTCCAGGTGACTCGAAGTGAGTCTGGCTCAGAAGATGAGGACTCTTTGCTGGGCTTCCTGAAGAGTGAGTTTGTTACATTCCAACTGCAAAGATCTGTTAGTTTGATAGCTTTATGTATCTTTGTCACAAAAAACAAGTAACTGGTACCAGAGTAAAAATCAGAGTGTCTGAAGTTATCTGCATCTGTGTCTGATCAGGTTTTCCCAAAAAGTTTGTCGACCTCTTGCTGAGCCCTCTTTTCCTGATCCTTGTCCTGGCCCAGTGCTGCTTCTCGTCGGTTATTGCAGGGCTTGCTACGTTCCTTAACAAGTATCTGGAGCGACAGTATGCAACTACAGCCGCACATGCCAACCTGCTCTTTGGTAGGTACCAGAGTAAAGATGTCACGGTTCCAGGATCTCGTTTGGTATTTGGTGAAATTATTCTTTGATATTTTTTTTGGACATTATTTTGCTTCTTATGTTTATTTTCATTTTTGTCTCCCTCTTTCATGTTGCTATGTTAGTTCATTTGTCCACTTAAGTTCAACTTCCTGTTTTACTTGGTTATCGCTTTTCCTTACATGTCTCCTGTAAGTGGACTCCCTATCGCTGTCCTTCCCAGTGGTAGCTTATCTTTTCCTGTTTATACGCTGACCATGTCTTTTATGTGGGCTTGCACTTTTTCTCCCATGTCCTCCATGAGTTAACAGACTTCGCTGCACCATAGTGATAATGCAAGAGGCACGTGAGAAATTATTATTCCTTTACATGAAATAAGGTCAACACCAACGAGTAGGGCAGAAGTGCAGGAAATGGGGAAAAAAGCTACAAAATAGGCTGCTTTTAAGAATCTGTATTATTACTGATGCACCTGAGAGATCCAGAGCTCCAGGAATGGTGATGCTATTTTCCAGAGAAGCGTTTGGTCAGTAAGTGGTGATTTTGCACCTTATCCCTAATCTGGAATATGACCTGCTCTGCAGCACAAGTTACCATGACGACCTAGACTGCTGAGAAGTGAATCGCCATAGTAACACTGAAAACACAGAGTTAACCCTGTAGCCACCCCAATAAGTCCAAATCCTGCTTCGTTGTTCAGGCCTCTGTTCACCGTACCTGTGTTTGATTTGATGTGTGCTCAGTCCTGCCTCTCTTTGCCGTCCGTGGCGTCTTGCAGCAGCCAATAAAGGCCACATTTGGCTCATTCTTCAGATTACTGCAGCCGTTTCAGTGTCAGCTGTTAAATATTTCAAGTAATAATGAACACTTTTAATGTCATGTTTCAAACATTTTATGAACTCTGGAGAGTGGAAATTAAACTGCGTGCTAAAATCATTTAATCGATTCTCTGCAGTGAGTAGGTTCACTTGTGATATGGCAACTTTCCAAAGCAGTCGAGCTGCCAGTTTTTCTTTGATGAAAATGTTTTCATTATTTTAAACAAATTGGCCTCTCTGTCTGTAAGGATGTTGGCAAACAAACGCATGCCCTGATAAAATCTCAGGTTCGAGTCTGAACAAGCACCTCCATTTGGGATTGGATGAAGCTAGTACTGTATCACACCCACTGAAGCAGCTCAGTTTTACTCAAATTGCACATCCATGTTTGGCAGCGCGCATGTTGTTGCTGGGAGTTTGTGCCAGCATCAATCTGCCTTAAGGTCTGATAATGGCTGTAAGTTGCGTCACTCTGAAGTCATTATAGCCTCAACAAAAAGAATACAAATTAAATGTCCCAACTCAGTTTGGACATGAGAACCAGTCTCAGACTTCTGAGAAATACTTTGTTCACTTGTAAATGTTTCACTCAAGCTGTTGTAAAATGTAATTCCACTCCAGTTTATGCTGGAACATGGCTTTGCTGGCTCTGCTCGGGATCCAGCATAGAGAAAGTTAGTCCTTGGGGGGTTTCAGCTCATGGGTGTCATCGGAAGATGACATCATGAGATTTTCACATCTTTTTTACTTAGCGGCAACTTATGTTTCCCAGGTTCTGTGAACCTACCGTGTGTGGCTGTGGGGATGCTGGCTGGCGGGGTCATCATGAAAAGAGTGGGTCTCTCTCTGAAGGCCATCCCACGTTTCTCTGTGGTGATGCTGACCATCTCCACCCTCTTCTACATCCCTCTGTTCTGGATGGGCTGTTCAACACAGAAGGTTTCAGAGGTCAATCATTTCCAGAGCAGCCAGTCTTGGTGAGTTTGTGTGTTTTATATAAATAACAGTAATATTATTAATCTGTATAACATATTTTATGCTACATGTAAAGCTCAAAGTGCTAAAAAATGAAAACCAAAGTAATAAAAATAATGAGATGAATTACATTTAATAGCAAGATAAAGGTAAAGGTATACTGCTCATCAACATATATCAAGATGGATCTGATGTGAAATCAAAAATAATCTGTCCAGATTTGTATGTGCAAAATGTGTAGGACTAAAACAAACTTAAATATGTTGTGTGTGGTGTTGGTGCATGGGGATTACATACCAAAGTAGTCAAAGTGCTGCAATCACAGTTTTTTAAAGACTACCAAGTCTGTTTTTATTGGACAGATTAAGCCAAAAGTCATCATCTTGATGGAAACACTGAGAGTTTTCATCTTTTTTTGGCTCTAACATCTACACGGGATTATAAACACAGTTTGCTCTCAAGAACACCACCCAGCACTCATCACCTTTCAGAACCGATGGTTGTGACCTGTGATCCAGTCCCTCACCTTCAAGCACTGGATTATATATAAACTTCAGTCATATCTGCTTCTTTTTCTTTAACTCGCTGCTCTGCTGTCCTCCGCAGGTCTCCACCCAGCTGCTATTCAAACTGCAACTGTCCTAACAGCACCTTTAATCCCGTGTGCAGCTACGAGGGCATTGAGTACATCTCTCCGTGCCACGCTGGCTGCACGAACTTCACCAAAGACAACACCCACAGGATTCTGGTCAGTGCCATCTCTTGCTTATGCCTTCCACAATGGCTGATTAAAATAAATAGGCTTATGTTATGTGAAGCTATAATGTTTTCTTTAGCCGTATAAATACAGTATGATTTTTTAACTGGTGAGCGGATAAAAGTGGAAAAAATTACCCTACCATAAATCATCCAAACCAATCTGTGTGATTATCTGGTGCAGAGCAATCACATAAGATGTGGATGCCGTGTAAGTGAATGAATTTGTTTTTAGAGCAGAGGGAGAAAAACTGTTTTCTTTTTTTATTCTCTGTATGGGATCAAAGAATAATCATTTGGCCCTGCTCCTGCACAGCGTCTGTAAATTGCTCACTCTGGGAAATATTAACCTTTATTAGCGTAATGTACTTCAGAGCTTAAAGTGCTGCAGGGAATCCATACCACAAATAAAATGCCATCGAGAGCCTTTGCAAAAATCAACTCGTCAGGGTAACTATTTCCTTATAAGGTTATAGTTTTAACTTATAGTTATAGTTATAGTTTTAAACCATAAGGTTTATTAGGCTTTTCTAAAGTGTATCTTAGATTAAAACTTTAGTATAACATTATGAAAGTAAATCAGAGCCACTTTGACGTTGCTGTTCTTACTTGGATCCTGGATGTTGAATCTTCAGTGTTCATGCAAACATGTCCGTGTGAGCCCACAGTGGGTAGTTGTGGGTAAACTATGGGACTCTGTGGACAGGGCAAACCCACACGTAATACCCCAACTGGGTGTGCCCACACAGGGCCACAGTAAGGCAGCCATTGCATTTTGTTTGGTTGTTATTTTGCTAAGGATTAACGGAAAGTAATTAGGGCTTTAAATGCTTTTAGTTCTTAGGATTTCATATTGAGGTAGTGATATAGTTTAATACTTAAGTTTAAGACTGACATGTTGTGTCTGATTGACTAGTACCTTCCAGTCTAGGCTCAGTCTCGCTCAGTCAGAACCAAAGCAACTCACAGTCAATATCTAATCGATGCTTATTAGTCGCAGAACTAATGAGAGCTGTTTTAAAAATAGAGAAAAAAACTGCAGCGTTTAAACGTCACAGCTTGTGAATAATCCTTCAGTGGGTGGATTGTGTGACCGCTATTCGAACATTAGTCAGTTTGACTCAGCGTGTAAGCCCACCACTGAGGCACAGACGCAGACAGAGCTGGCTACAGCTAGCTTAATGGATTAATGCTCAGTAATCAGGCGATAATTATTTCATCTTTGATGTGGATTCACATGTTCACAAGTGCAAAGTTGAGTGTGGAGTTCAAACATCTACTTGAGAAATGTCTCAGATTTTTACAGGTTTCTTTTTATGTATTTTAGTTTGATTAAATCAGGAATATCAATGGAAATTTGATCTGTTTTTAACCAGAGCCTTGTAGGTTTTTTTTCTTGAAAAAATATAATCTTTTCACACTTATGTGAGAAAGAGCGTTCATTCATCCATGTATTATTTGCTGCTTATCCGGGTCCATATTCATGGGGTCCATGGGGGCAGCAGTCAGAGCAGAAACGCACAGACCACCTCTTCAGTCTCCTCTGGGAGCACACTGAGGAGTTCCAAAGCCAGCCGGGAGACATCCTCTCCAGCATGTCCTGGCTCTGCCCTGGGGGCTCCTCTCATCCCTGCTTCAACTGGCTCCATTTCATTTAACCTTCTCAACGTTTAAATTACCTGCTGATGTTCAAATTTTGGGAAACAACAATCAGCCAAAACATAACAGCATTACAAGCTGTACAAAAGATTATAACTTAATCCGAGACAGGACAAAAACCATGCATATCAGAACAAACAGGTAACATATAAAATATAATATAAAAAATATAATCTCTGCTTTCTCTCTGGATACAGGAGTATATCAACTGCAGCTGCACTGCCAGCACTAAGGCCAAACCAGGTCCTTGTGAGAATGGCTGCTCTCATTTTCTTCACCCTGTCATAATCGTCATCGCTCTAGCATCCCTCATCGCCTGCCTAACGCACAACCCCATGTACATGATGGTGCTCAGGTGAGTTCAAAGTTAAAACCCTCTGACGGGTAGCACGATACAGTGTGCTTGTCCACGTTGTTAAATACTTATCAATTTTTTATGAATTTTTATATAGATATTTATTCACCTGCAAAATCTGCATTGGGACAGTGGCTCTATGTTATATTCCTGTAGCTTCTTGTTGAGCTTTGGGCTCTATTTTAATTTTTATTGTTGTTGTTTCTTATGTTTCTTATGTTCACATTTTCCTGGTGTCTCCTGAGGTTTCCTTGCTTTTGTCTCTCTCTGTTTTGGTATGTTAGTTTCCTCGCCTTCCTCGTTTCCATCTCCTGTTTTGTTTTACTGCTTTTCTGTCTCTAATTCCTTGATTGGCAACACAAAAGCCAAGGACAACATTCACGGATCTGTGTCCTATACCCCCCTAATGTGTGAGAGTTCATGAAGTGATTAATCACTGCCACATAAAACGGAATGGAAAATGCAGATGTTGCTCGTGTAACATTTTTTTCCTGTGTTTTCAGATCTGTTCCTTCTGATGAGAAGTCATTTGCCATAGGAATTCAGTTTTTACTCATGAGACTGCTGGGTAAGACAGGATTACCGTATTACTAAAGAGGCTGATGCTCCAGAAACATTTGTAGTTTATAGGGAAGAAAATGGTGTAATATTGAATTAAAACACAAATTATAGTGTTAATGGTCATGGTTGTATAAAGAACCCAGGAGTAAACTATGCCAGCTATATAAGTAAACTAACAAATGGTGCAATTTTAAGAGATTAATAAATCATAAATAAGTAGAAAGTGGTATTAATTTCATCACCCGTGTTTTAAAAATCTTTTCTGATTTTTAGCTCATTTTGCTGAAGGACCAATAAGTGTATGACATGGCGAGGCTTCTGCCATTCAATTCACAACAATCATTACTCTTCCTATAATATTGGTCAAAGTTTAATCCAATTTACATAGACTGACAACTAAATGGGTCTTCATTTAAATGTTTGTCAAGATCAAGGTCACATTTGCCATTTTATGGGTAGAAAAAAGGTGCACTGTGATGATGGGAGTAACTCCAGCTGCCTCCCCTGCTAACCCCGACCTCTTTTTCCATCTCAGCTTGGCTCCCGGCCCCTGCTCTCTTTGGGATGGCCATCGACACATCGTGCCTCAGGTGGAGAACTGTATGCGAAAAGAAGTTTAGCTGTGGTTACTATGACAACAACATGTTGAGGAACCGGTGAGAACATTTATCACTTAACAGACTTTTTTGTACTGTTATCAAAGGTTGTGTTTTGTGGTCAGAGCTGAACTGGTGGCAGAAAGTGACAGTTCTGTGATGTCTTTGTGTCCACTGTGTAAAACTGAGAGTCGACACCAAAGAGAGCCTAAAAGAAACATTAAAAACTTTCAGCCCACTATGAGCATCAGCATGATGAGATATATCATTATCATGTCAGTAAACCGGTATAATGTCTGTGCTGTAGAGTAATAGAAGCAAGCGCTGAAATCCTGAATGTTTGATTTCTTTTCTGATAATTCACTGGAGAAAACATCATAAAGTGCATTCTGGGTAACTTTTTAAGGCTCATATCACCAAGTGGGATGGTTGGATACTCAGAACAGATTTTACCCTATGAAAGGTTTCCTGTTTTTAGCTACTTTTTGATATCAGGCTCATTTTCTAGATGTGATTCCATCTGTGTCAAAATTCTGAGGGGATCAGGTGGGAGAAAGGGAGAACCCCTGAACCAATCAGGCAGTGAGCTACAAGATTCATAGCCTCATTTTGTAAATGATTCTCTTTAATAGAATATTGTGCATCCAGTGGCACCAAAAGACTTTTTTAAATTTATTGATAGAATTTTGCTGGTTTTCTTTTGGATTTTGTTGTCCGTCCACTTCGGACTGGCCTGTACATATCAAACAGGTGTGCAGTTCATCTAAATCTGAGCCATGCATTTATTACTTATCTGACTCCCTGCAGGTATCTGGGCTTACAGGTGGGTTATAAGGTCATGGGCATCGTCCTGCTGATGATTCTCGGGTGGAAGGTGCACCGGACCGAGGAGTACAGTCTGGCAGATGACAAGAAGGACCATTCTGATTGTCCCGCTGAGAAGCAGGGTGATCCAAACCTTTTAAAGCTTTGCTGCGGTGATAAACGCTGAGTAAAGCTGTCAGTGGAAGGAATCCATAGTCAAGATGGGCCAGCACTGTGACCTCAATTTCTTTAGGCCCACTCCTCCTACCCAGTTCTTCAATGGTTGGACAGAGGATATCCATTTTCTACAGGGGAATATTCTCTATGTTTCTGGATGCATTTTGATTGGAGTAATTCAGACGTTATGACCAGCAGAGTATACGTTAAGACAAGACAGCTAAAGCACATCGTTTGTAAATGGTAAATGGCCTGTATTTGTATAGCGCTTTACCAAAGCACTTTACACATCCAGTCATGCACCCATTCACACACACATTCACACACTGGCGATGGCAAGCTACATTGTAGCCACGGCCACCCTGGGGCGCACTGACAGAGGCGAGGCTGCCGAACACTGGCCACCACCAGTAGGCAACAGGTGAAGTGTCTTGCCCAAGGACACAACGACTGAGACTGTCCGAGACGGGGCTCAAACCGGCAACCTTCCGATTACAAGGCGAACGCCCAACTCTTGAGCCACAATCGACCCACATCGTGATACCTCACATTCTCCTTGGGTCCAGGACAGTGAAAGGACTTTTGAACAACAGCTAAATGTTTTTTTTTATTTTGCGCGTACCTGAACAGTAGGAATCTATTCAGGTTTCTATTTGCAATGCGAACACATTCTGTATCTAATTAACTGTATAGCTTAATATTTAAGTATATATATTTTTTATAGATCATTGTCTCATACACAGAGACGTGTGATTACTGCAATACTCTTTTCATATATGAGCCTGTGTAACACTTCAATTGCAATTAATATTCAGATATCAAATACATGCACTGTTACTCATAAACTGAATAAAATGAATTAACCATACAGTATGCTATTCACTAGTTTGGTTATTGGGTGGATTGCAAACAAGTGTGAGTGTTACTGGATGAAGTATGTCTTTATCTTCAGTATCTCCAAGGCTGAATAATCCATCAGGTCAATTGGTTTGTTGGATTTTTAAGAAATATACAGCTCAGGTCATAAACAGTAGGGAATGTTCGTCTTTATCTTCATGTAAGATGAATCATCAGAGTCAGAATACTTTATTAATCCCAGAAGAAATGATGTGGTCACAGTTGCCCCAAGACAGTAAGAACAGTAACTAAACTAAATTAAATAGCACAATATAAAACAAAGTTACAAAATATGACACAATGGCTCTAATTATAAATATCCCGGCATATTACACAAATTTAAATGTATATAGTTGACACTGAGGCGGCCTTCTTATTATATTGACTCACATTAGTCCTGTGTCATACTTGTTTTAACCTTAATCTGCAACAAAGAAAGAGCAGACTCTGTGCTGAAATGTTTCACACGCTGTGGGGCTCCAGGTTCATCTGTTGATTACACCTAAACAAAAATCGTGATGTTCCAAGCTACACTTAATCTTGTAGCCCTGGGTTATGTTTTTGTAGTACTGGAGATTAAAGGTGCCCTTAAAGCTGCATGGAAATCTGAGGCTAAACAAAATGAACGAAAGATAGGAGGTGGAATTTTGCAGTGCAATGACTAGTCACACAAATCACGAAGACAGAATGAAAGAATGAAATAAGAGTGAAATAAGAACATAAATTATTAAAGTCTTGATGAGAGACTGAGCTAAAATTAAACAAGTCTACTATGGAGTAGATTTAATGTCAGATAAAAATGATGATGAAGTGAAGTTTTTGTGGCCTGGGTTATTTTTGATCCTACTAAAATTCTGGATATCCTCGTATGCTTCAGTAATATCCACTGTTTCATATCCAGTGCTCTCTCTCTTTCTCTCTCAAAATATGTATTGTGTTTAAAAGATATCAAATCAAGTACTGGTCTGTGTCTTCTTATCATGCCAGTTTGTACCACAAGATGGTGCAGTGAGTCAATGCAACCCTTATTTAACCAGGGACACCAATAACAGATTCTTATTTACAATATTGGCCTGGCAAAAACCATGATTGGTAAAAACCTATATATAAGTAAACAAAGTGTTCAATGTACAATTCTAACAAATGTAAAAGTCAAAATTTTCCATTAACATATATTATTCATATTATTCAGATATTCATCAATGCAGCCTGAACTCACTTGCAGCATTCGGGCTTTCATGCCGTTATGTAGACTTCACGAGAAGTTCTCTAGGTTTGTTTGGATGTTGGCTGCCTTTTGGTCTGTTCTCTGTCAGGATGATCCCCCACTGCTTCAGTAATGTTGAAGTATGGGCTCTGGGGAGGCCAATCCATGACTGATAGTGTTCCACTGTGTGATTTTTCTTTCTTTTCCTTCTCCTGAAAAATGAAGCTGCCACTGGCACTTCATCTGTTCATAAATCCATCAATTCTGACAAGATCTCTAACATCACTGGCTGAATGTAGTCCCAAATCCTGAGAGAGCCTTCACATGACTACACATCTTTTGTCCTCCCTTTGTTCACCTTTCTCAGATTTTTTTTTTCTAAATCATACAACGCTGAGATATGTCACCATACTGTAATCAAATTTATTTATTCATACATCCCAAAGTTGGGAAAATCGTGTGCTGTAGCAGTCAAGACATTAAATATTAAACATTAAACTATTATTTTCAGTTCAATTCAATTTTATTTACACAGCGCCAAATCACAACAACAGTCGACTCAAGGCGCTTTATAT